CATGTGGGATCTCACAAAAGGATTGCACATTTTCTTTTACAATGCAATGCAAATATGCTGAATTTACCCAATTGTTTAGGTGCCGGAGAGTCCGGGAAATCCACCATTTTTAAGCAGGCAAGCCCTTTTATTCTTTACCGTTATAATCTGCAACGTCGTAATGTAGTTGGTCCACCAAACGTTTTTTGCTTTTGTCGCTCCATTTTTGCAGATAAAATTGTTGTTCCAAACTGGGTTTGATGAGGCAGAGCTGAAGAGCTATATTCCAGTCATTCATGCAAATGTGTATCAGACTATAAAAGTATGCAATATTTGAAAGGGTGTGTTGGTTATTTCCCTTTCTGCATGATTCAAACACCAAATGATTTTGTCCAAAAATTTACAACATAATATCCCTTTTTATTTTGAGTGCCAAAACTCTAAATCATGGGTCGATATTGTATCGTTTGTCGATAACTATAACCTCTTATTCAACTTGACGTTTCAGGTATTACACGATGGTTCGAAGGAGCTCGCTCAAAATGATAAAGAGTTCTCGAAGTATGTTTTGTCCAGTGAAAATAAGGTATCCGTTTTATGTCTAACTGGAGCTTGCATGACTCGAGCATTTGTCTCGTACCGTTTTATAATAATTTCCAGTGGTTGCATAAAGGATTTGTCCAGCTCGCTTTCTGGTTCATGATTCAGAAATAGAAACGGGGGCAGATTTATAAGCAAAATGCGATTTATCTGAAATGTTGAATAACAAATGAAGGAGAATAAGAATTTACCCGAACCTAGCCACAAAATAGCCACGAAATCAAGTAGGTAAGAAAGCCAATACTCACGAACTTAGGAAAGAAAATTGCTCGAACCCAAGTGAAAAGTATATCAAACACGACTAGAAGAAAAAAGAAAAAATTCCCACAAAAATAGCCTCGTTCATCGAAAAGACTACTTATAATCTAGCCACTATTCTTCAATGTAAAACGGAAACTCGATTAAGTTGAAGGGTTTAATTTGATGAAATTGACCGTTGGCTAAATATGTTAGTTGCCTTGGATTGACGGTGTAACAATCCAAGCCCACTGCTAGCAGATATTGTCCGTTTTGGCCTGTTACATATTGCCGTCAGTCTCATGGTTTTAAAACGTGTTTACTAGGAAGAGGTTTCCACCCCCTTATAAGGAATGTTTTGTTCCCTTCTTCGACTGATGTGGGATCTCACAATCCACCCCCTTGAGGGCCCAACGTTCTCGCTGGTACATTACTCGATACCTAGCCCTGACACCATTTGTAGCAATCCAAGCCCACCGCCAGTAGATATTGTCCGTTTTGATCTGTTACGTATCGCCGTCAGCCTCACGATTTTAAAACGTGTCTATTAGGGAGAGGTTTCCACATCCTTATAAGAAATGTTTTGATTCTCTCTCCAACCGATGAGAGGTCTCACAATCCACTCCCTTTGAGATCTCAATGTTCTCACTGGTACATTGCTCGGTGCCAGACTCTGAAATCATTTGTAACAGCCCAACCCTAGTAGATATTGTCCGCTTTGACCCGTTACGTATCACCGTCAACGTCACGGTTCTAAAACGCGTCTGCTAGGGAGAGGTTTCCACACCTTCATAAGGAATGCTTCGTTCCCCTCTCCAACCGATATGGAATCTAACAGCGTAAGTGTTGTACGGTAAAAGAAAAAGGAAATTTTGGCCCATGTATAGGGGTGAAAATGTATTTCTTTCCCTAAATATAATTTGCTGGCTTATGGATGTGAACTTGGATGGACATGTACTGAACCCTTTGTCGCTTATAGCACCTAACTCATGATTATGCATCAGGACATTGGTGAGAAATTATCCGACATTGGCAGTAGATTGGATTACCCGCGTTTGACTAGGGAGCATGCACACGATATAGAGACTCTATGGAACGATGCTGCAATTCAGGTAGCCGTTGCCCCATGTAGATTAGCTAGTGGCATCTTTTAAATGAAATTGATCATGACGCTTCTTATTTTATGTAAGCTTTTTATCTTCTTGAATTCGTCCCAGATGAAGCGAGCTTAGCGTTCTTATTCTCTTTGTAGGAAACGTATGCTCGTGGTAACGAACTACAGGTTCCAGATTGTGCACATTATTTCATGGAAAATTTACAGAGATTATCTGATGTAAATTACATTCCAACTAAGGTATTCAATCTTAGTATCCTTTACAGTGAAACTAGTAATGAGATCGAGTTATTTGCGTAAATTTTGGGTCTTTTCTTATGTGGCTTTGATCGCAGGAAGACGTGCTCTACGCAAGAGTTCGTACAACGGGTGTTGTCGAAATCCAGTTTAGGTAAATATTTAGTTATATTTACAATGTGTTTTTATATTCCTTATAATTTATGTATCATAATTAAAATCTCATAAGACGATTAAGCTCGTCTTACAGCTTAATCATTATAATTAATTATGGTATTTGTTTGATTTTGGCAGTCCCGTTGGAGAAAATAAAAAGAGCGGAGAAGTGTATCGACTCTTTGATGTCGGTGGACAGAAAAACGAGAGGCGGAAATGGATTCATCTTTTTGAAGGTGTTACAGCAGTAATCTTTTGTGCTGCTATTAGTGAGTAAGACCATCTCTCTTTTAACCTATTTGTGATTCTGGTAGTCTTGACAAATGTAGAAGGAAAAAGATATATGCCCCTCTCGTTCACGACCACCTGGTCGGGGATGCTCCCCGAAGCCGATGGGAAGCCATTTAGGAATATGTGATTGTGCAATGAAGTTTAGTGAACGAGGGCCTTTTACTAGTTTCTATTGTTTTCTTTTTAAGTCGGTGGGACTAGGTTGGAGAGTAGCTCTTAGACGATAGTTATAACCGCCCAAGCCCACCGCTAGCCTATATTGTCTTCTCTGGGCTTCTCTTCAAGATTTTAAAACGTGTCTACTATGGAAAGATTTCCACACCCTTATAAATAATACTTCGTTCTTCTCTCCAACCGATGTGAGATCTCAAAATCCACCCCCTGGGGACTAGCGAGGACGCTGGCACACACCACCCAGTGTCTGGCTCTGACGCTGGCACCCACCGCTAGCAAATATTGTCCTTTGTGGGCTTTCCCCTCGAGGTTTTAAAACGCGTTTGCTAGGGAGAGGTTTCCCCACCCTTATAAGGAAGACTTCTTTCTCCTCTCCGACTGATGTGGGATCTCACAATCCACCCCCTTAGGGGCTCAGCATCTTCGTTGACACACCGCCTCCCTCAAGGCTTTAAAACGCGTGTACTAAGGAGGTTTCCACACCCTTGTAAGAAATGTTTCGTTCTCCTCTCCAACCAATGTGAGATCTCACGGTAGCGATTCAAGTTGAGTGTCCTAAAGAGAGAATTCTAAAAGTCTAAAATGATAGAGGAAAAGTAGATCATATCCAGCTGGTGATCTAACAACCCATGTGGAGATCATGGTGGCAAGACATACTTGTTGTCTGTCGTCTTTTTTTGTCTGCATAGCTGTGCTAATCGGTGTTCCACTCTTTGCATTATGCTTATAATCCACTCCGCTAGTATTGGGAGACGTGTTCGAGATTATATATAAGAGACCGTAATGATTTAAACTATAATGAAAGTATAAAGTTAGTTGTGGCTCCTTGTCTTTTTAACTCGAAAGAACAAGAATTGCATTAAATTATACTATTGCCATAAGGTTTATCAGATTCAGATGGGTTAACCGATAACGGTTTCAGGTATGATCAAACACTTTTCGAGGACGAACAGAAGAACCGAATGATGGAGACAAAGGAACTTTTTGAGTGGGTTCTGAAACAAGAGTGTTTTGAGGTTTACTTTTTTGCATTGTTTTCGTTTACACAAGTGTATTTGACGATAATTTCGTTCCACAATTTGATGCTGTTTTATTCTGGGTGCAGAAAACGTCGTTCATGCTTTTTCTCAACAAGTTCGATATATTCGAGAAAAAGGTTCTACAAGTAAGTATTGATAGAGAGTATTACGACACTCTTCGATAGGTCCTTTAAATATTAATACGAATTAGCGTCTTATGATAGGTCCCTCTTAGTGTGTGTGAATGGTTCAAAGATTACCAGCCGGTTTCGACTGGAAAACAAGAGATCGAGCATGCCTACGAGTACGTATCTATCACCCCCCCTCGTCCTCTATGCATAAACCGAGCCATTTCCGTAACGGGATGACTTGTAGACTATGGACAATGCTGCCATTTTTTTTCCCCTCTTTCGTGTAGTTGATCTAAAATAACACTTCTGATGCATAGAATCAATGAATTCAGGTTCGTGAAGAAAAAATTCGAGGAGTTGTATTTTCAGACGACGTCACCAGATCGAGTAGATCGGGTGTTTAAGGTATACAGAACGACTGCTCTCGATCAGAAGCTCATAAAGAAGACGTTCAAACTCGTAGACGAAACTTTGAGGCGGAGAAACCTGTTGGAGGCCGGGTTATTGTGACGTTGTGAACACAGCCGAAGAAGAAGAAGGAAGTTGGAAGTCTGATTCATTGATTTAAAACATTTTTGTATCAAAGTTGAAATCTGTTTAACAATTTGTAATTTGATGATCCAAATTAGTTTGAAATTACATAACATATGTTTTTGGATTCTGTGTACACCCATTCTATTTTTCTGCATTTCTTCGCGACAAAGGGCAGGCACTCTCGGGTTTCAACCCCATTATTGATACAATAGGGGCTCGAGAGTCAGCCAGAGCAAGTCGTAGATAAGCTTCTCAAATCGGGACCTCTTAGTTTTCGCTAATTTAAAAGAATTAAATTAATTAATAAAAATTATATTTATTAAAATATAAGAACACCAAATTTAATTATATATTTATTTGGTTAGAAAATTTGGCGGTATAATAATCAGAAAGCGTGGAGAAAAGTATTTATAAATGTGTGGGTGCACGTTTTTTATGTTAAAAAGTATTCAATAAATGTGGCCGACACATCGGACGGTGAAATGGACGGAAACGGAAGCTTAAAAGAAAAAGTAGGATTGGTTGGCACATGCAAAGACGACAAAGGTCGGTAGGTGAGAAGAAACAGGGTCTCGTTTTTTACGCGCGTAAATGCCTCCAATTCGCAAAATCCCCGTTGCATTTCTTTGATTTTTCTCATTCAACGCAAATCCAGCACCTCTTTCAATTCTCTACGACATTCTTCTCCTTGTTTTCTCTCGCGTTGAAGCATCAAATTCTCTTTCGTAATGGTTTGCTGACTTTCAATGTGCTTGAAACCCTAGCTGATTTCGTCGCAAACATCTGGATCTCGCTGGGGTGAGGCTTTGTCGATCGTCCTCTCTGCTTCTTTCTGTTGTCTTGTCGATTTTTTTTTTTTTTTTTTGAGTTTGACTCATGAGATGAAAATATAAAGTCACGCTTTCTGTGTTCTTTTCGTTTTCTTTGGATTGTGTAGGAATTCGAACATGTGATTGGAAGAATTTTTCTTTCTGCATTGCACCGCCGTTTCATGTAACTTCAAGTGTGTTGTTAATTGAAATTCGATTTTTGGTGGAAACATGAGAAATTACTACGACGTGTGTATGTGATCCTGTAAATATTGGTTGACATTGTTCATTTTATGAGTGTGTGTGATCAATTGAATTTTTGAAAAGAACCTACATCGTTTCTATTATAATAATCATTGCATTGGATGGTGGAATGGTAGAATCAGTTCTGTTGTAGAAGCCATTTTGAATTGTAGATTTGTTCTGGCGAACTTTCTATAGAGCGGCGTGTCTTGATGTTGCCTTATCTGATTGATAGTCTTCCACGCATGTTGGAATAGTAAAAACGAGTGCGAGTCATATGTGGTTGGAGCATCTGTATCTATTGTACATTGATTTGCTTATTTTAGGTTATTTACAATGTGTTCGTCTCTGAATATTAATATTTTCTATGATTTTTTTTGGAAGGTCTGGCATAATCTAAGAAATAGTGCATTGTTTCTCTTCTGCTTTATTGAGTCTCCCTGGCTTTGGTTCTCAACATTTATATTTTTATCTGTGCAGGTTTATTGTACCTGTCATCTGGATTCCGTTCTTAAAGTAGACATTGGTTGCCCCTATTGAAAGCCAGAAATCCTGAATATTACACAACTTAAGAAAGGAGGAAATATGGGGAACAATTGGGTGTTTTTCATTGATCTTGATGGAGGCTCACCTTATATCTTGCCAGTCGAGCCCTTTTCATCTCATAGATTTGGAGACCATCTATTTTCACATATCAGTTTCTTTATGGATAATTCTCTGTATCAATCTAGAAATTTGTATCTGGCTGGAAGTTTAGCACTTCAAGAAGCCTTTAATTGCTTTTCAAAGATCGCTGGTGCCCTGTTCCTATGGTGCTCAGGTACGTCAAGTGCAAACATGACTAGGGAAATATCAGGTGATCTACATGGTTCAAATTCTAGAAGCGTTAAAAACTTGACAGAAGTTAGGAGCATCCGTTCTGGTAGACTTGGGTCTAGAGGATTTCACTTTAGCTTTAATTTGGGAATGAAACATTCCAAGCCATTTTTTCTTGGCAAGATTGGCGGTTTTGCAACGAGACTTTTGGGTAAAGAAGCTGGAAGGCAGCAGTTGCATCCTTTGCTCTCAGTAGCGGCTGCTTTAGTTCCTCCTCTTAACAACTTGTAAGCTGCTGTTCTGTGAGATGAATGGAATGAATTTCCTGTTTGTTTTAACCTTTATTATTAGGTTCAATTATTTGACCCAAACTTATTCTTGTATCAAGGGCCAGCAGATCATCAGATGTTATAGCTGTTCCATTGGAGAATAATGAATTGCATGTCCATGGATGCACGGAGCAGAAACCTTGCGAAGTTGCGTATGGAGCACCTGCTGGTTTAACGTTTCCTGACGTGAATTGGACACGGCATGCAATTGAGCCCCAAACTGGCATTGAGTTTCCCGTGGTACTAGATAACATTCTATCCGGAGAAAATAATTCCAGCTTGAGTTCAGAGGTGAATGTTTACCGATTGTGGCCTCAAAATATTCCTCTCCATGTTTATATGCTTTTCTGACAACCAAGTTGTTATCTGTCAATCTGCCCTTCTTATCATTGTCCTTGGCCATTATTTTACTCTATCTCTGGGTTATATTGCTAATAATTCTCAACTGCTACTGTAGGTTCTTGTTGGAACTGGATCCCGGATTGTAAAAATAGTCAAAATTAAATCCCTGAAGGTCTATGCTTTTGGCTTTTGTAAGTTTATTGGTATATCAGGTACTCTATTTTTTTGTTTTGTTATCTTCATTTTTCTGATCAGATCCTTGATTTTTCCCCTTATAGATGTTCATCCAAACTCTGTCTGTGAGAAGCTTGGTCCAAAATATGCTTCTAGTTCAGCAGATGAATTAAATGAGCGTCGAGATTTTTATGAAGACCTTCTGAGGTAGTTTTACCTTTCTCTCGAGTTATGTAATTGCTTTGTTATTTCATTTCAATTGTCAGCGTTGCAGTTTCAAAAGTAGTCTGGAAAGTGTGAAAAAGGCTTGGAAATTTATTTAGTATGCTCGGTATGACTGTGCCAAGGGATTTATCGTCTTCTCTACTGTTCCTAGCCTGAATGGGAAACATAGATTTCACTTTTCACTTTTGACCTTGGATCCAGCTTTTCAAGAAGTTACTTTACTTATGCCTTATTTCTAATCATGTTTTTGTTCATTACCATGCTGCAGGGAGGATATTAATATGACCGTCAGGCTTGTTGTTAATTGCAATGGGATGAAAATTAATACTGTAAGAGAGTATGTTTCTTTCTTTGGAATTGAACACTGATACATACTTGGTGGTCAATGTTTTTCCTTAAATAGTGGGTATATCATATTTTAAGGTTCAGTTTATTCGCACTAGCATTTAACATCTCACAGCCTGTATATTGAGTGTGTGTGTGTTTAAAGTCAGTTACAGATTGCAAAGTTTATAAATTTTGCACTTTAAGTTTGAAGTATGCCCAGTTTGATCAAATTTCCAGGTACAGTTCATACAAATTGGATTCTTAATTAGTGACTTCAGATTCTCCTGGCATAAAAGATTCAGCTAGGTGATAAGTAGTGTTATGTAGTTGCCTTTTCCAGTAGGATTTAGATTATTGGAAGTTGACTACTCTCTTTATATAGCTTACATGAAGATATGCCACTATCACTCTAGCCTTTGAACAATTTTCAAGGTTCTCTAATTGATGTAGGGACTAGAATAGTGCATCCAGGTCATCATGGAATTTGCTTTGTTTTTATAAGTAGTTATAATTTTACCGTTGAACTGTAAATTTGATACGGTAGTTTTATTTTAGAAGCATTCAAACAGGATTAAAAAGTGTTCTTACAACGTCATGTAAAATTATAGTTGATAGTGTTTGGCAATGTTGATACGTTACTCAAGCTAATTGATGATCATGCTCTGATTTCTCTGTTGCAGTGCTTTTGAGAAATCACTTAGAGCACGATTGTTGAAGGTAAAGTGTCCGATACAACTAGCCATATCTTTGCTTCTGGACATGATTTAATTTTTCTTATTTTTTAAACTAATGATTGGCACAGGCAAATCCAGAAACTGATTACGATTGTGTGAGGACATTTGGTTCTCTCTTCACCAAAGACATTCCGTTACCTTTGGTAACTCTAGATTAGAAGCGTCACTTCTATTTGTATTTTGTTTATTTTGTTTTTCATTTGAATTGGAATACTGTAGGGAACAACGATCGATTTTCGACAGACGGCTGATGGACAATTAATCACTGAAAGTAAGCAGAGAGTACAATTATAGCGTGATGGTATCATTTTGGTCCCTTCGATAGCAATTTTGTTTTTTGGTTTCTTAAATTGTGCAGGTTTCTTTAGAATTATTTTGCAATAGTTTTCATCTTTGGAAACATTAAACTAATTAGCCAAATTCCAAAAACAAAAACAAGTTTTTTTTATGAAAAAATTCTATTCTAGTTTTAAAATTCTGGCTTGAACTTGAAAAACATGTTTTGAACGTGAAGTAAAGAAACTCATAGATAGAAGTGGGATTTATAGACTTAATTTCGGCCATTTAATTTGATACCATTGATAACCTATTGTGCAGCCTAGTTACTCTTGAATCGAATTTGGGGCTCTTACATGTCGTATTGCATTTTATTCCCCCTATACACACAATAGTATGACCTAATCAATAAATTAATGTACTCATTCCTCTGTAGTCAGAGGTTCAAATCCTCGCACTCTCATTTGTTGCACTAAAAAATCATTTAATTCATATCGACGACTAATGAGGGTTGTTGCACAGTGGGAGGCACTCTGATTGGAGCGGTTCGTAGCAAGGAATTGTGTAGTAAGTGAAACGTCACCTTTCTGAATTCTTCCTGTTAGAATTGAAATGAACATATAATAGTTAGATATTAGTCAATGAAAATTTATGTGAAGATCTCAACCATGAAACATAACTTGCAGGGGCGTTCTTTGATGTTTACCTTGGCGACTTTCCAGTGTCGGAGGAAACGAAAAAAGAGATCGGTAGAAATGTGGCAAGTCTTATTGGTAGATGCTGACTAACATCTTTGTTCTAAAATTGTTCTCAAGTACCAGAGCTTCAATTGCCCCTCATTTTATATGGACAATTGGTTGCTGTGACATGAAAAACTGGTGGCAGGCTTTGGCATTAACAAGATCATCACTTGGTTGTGCACTCAAAGCTGGCAATAGCGAGTTGAGATCTAGTACATATTTGAAAAGAAAAAAACAAAAAACAATAAGAAAGACAGGCGACACTCCAAATAACCATTGATTGATTCTTTTACGCCAATGGCTGCTGTATGCATATGCAGGTTTCATCACATTTATCAGCTTTCATTTTTTGAACTTTTTCTTATATTTTGATAATCTTCTCGCAGCCTTCGTTCTAATAAGGAAATGAATAGAGTGAGTAATTGGTTGTGACGCTCATGATTTATGAGACTGGTTGGGAGTGATACAAAGTTACTCTTTCTTTTTATAGAATTTAGAACAAAATATTTGGATGGTTGGGAGTGATTGAGTTTGGGATTTTATGGATTTTATCTATATCTTTTATATATATATATATACGTACTTGTATTAGTTATGTTTAATATAAAGTTTTTTGTTTTGGTAATTCCTTCTTTCGGTTGGGGTGACTTTATTTTATGATTATTACCTTTTAGGGGATGGCGGCCATGTTTAAGTTAGGTTTTGTAATAGTCTAAGCCTATTGGTAGAAGATATTGTTTCCTACCTATCTATGTCTGTCTCAAGTTTTTAAAATGTATCTATTAGGAAGATGTTTTCGTACCTTTTTGGGTGCTTTTCAGGTTTGATCTCTAATTTTTTTTAATTGAATTTTATATGATTTGTGAATTAGGTTTGGGAACAATTTTGTAGTTTAAATACCATATATATATATATATAATATTAATAAATTGAATATTTTTTAATTAAAAAGAAAAGAAGAAGAAATTGTAATTATTTATTAATATTTTTGAAAAGCGTGAAGAAGAATCCACCCCTAGGAAACAAAGAAAATAAAGGGCGCACGCAGATAAACTTTACACCTATATCTTTACGACAATCAACTCAAAAACCACTTAGCTTCTCCTTTACTTTACCTTTCCAATTTCATGATCCCCCCCCCCCCAACTACATGTCGTTTTGTCTTTGTCATTGTATTGCATTGAAACCTATGATCGACTTGTCGCTCCTTCATCCATTATCATTACTGACGTGGCAATCTCCAGTTCAACGTTCGAAATGACCACTTTATCCAATTGAGCCGAGCCGAGCCGAGCCCAAAGTCGGATTTGGTGGTCTCCCAATTTCAACTATTCCCTCCGTGGGCCCCACCACCTTTCTTGTGGATAAGCATCGCAACACTCCGTTTTATGCTTCGACTCGCCACGTCATTGCCTAATAATCCGGTGCTCCCAGGTCTATTGCAATTTCCATCCTGTGGGCTACCCCACCAAAAATAATATCAAAAAAGAAATAATAAATTAGAAAACAGCTCACAAATGTTAACTAAAGCTATCCGAATATTACAATATATTAAATAAGTTGCAAGTGGATGAGGATAAGGCCCTTTTTTTTTCCCCCTTACCTTACCCCTCCATTAAATTATTCCTTTTTATTCTTTTATATATGATATATTTATTTATTATCATTTTTTCTCCTAATCTAATCATTTTTATCTCTTTTCCAATTAGTATCTTTCATCAATATCTGATCTATTGCCCTTCCTCCACGTGCTTTCAATCCCCACCGTTCACTTTTTTATGATCCAAAATCTCTTAAATTCATTTATATAAATTTAAATCCCATTTCCTCTTGCTTCTTCTTCTTCTTCTTCTTCTTCTTCTTCTTCTCGTCTGCGTTTTTTTCTCTCTTTTTTCTTCTCTCTCCTTGTTGTCACTGCTCAAGTTCGCGAAGTCGTCATGTCGATTGCTTTGGATAGTGTTCAGCGGGTTGAGGATAAAGGCTCTGGATTCTCGCCGGAGGATTTGGGTTTTGGATCGGTGTTTGACAGGTTGGATACTGGGGATGTGGATCACGGTGTTGAAGGCTTTGAAAAGGAGGCTGAGGAGTCCAATACTTGCAGCTCGGCTTCCAGTTCTTCTTCTTCGATCGGGAGGAACAGTGATCAGTCCGCCAGATCGTCGGACGGTGAGGAGAGTGGCGAGAGTGATGAGGTTCAGAGCTCGTATAAGGGGCCGCTGGATATGATGGACTCCTTGGAGGAGGTTTTACCTGTCAGGTTGGTGTTCTTTCTGCTTAAGCATCTTGTTTCTCCTTTGTTTTGGATTTTACAAACTCTTTACATTCTTGCTTGAATCTTTGTTTGGAAATTAGAAATCGAAATCATTCCTTGTCTCTAGTTCTTGAATTTGAGGGATGATCTGGAACGAGTGTGTTAAACCTATGGTTGGTGAAGCTGAAATGTTTAGAGGAGGCCTGATTGAGCTTGAAAATTTAATACTCCTGCAGTACATTGCATTTGGGAATGGGGATTGTTAATCTGTCCTTCAGATCGATGGAGTGATTCGATCTATGCTCGATCAATTAATTTTGCTTCATTTTGGACATACTATTAGGGAATTATGTTTTCAAGCTGGCGGTGACTAGTATTTATTGCTGACAAACAGATAAAATACTTGCGCTACTAAAAGTAGACATTATTCTTGGCATGAATAAGACACGGCCTGTAGAAAATTGTATTCTTTAATATAGGTGAATGCGATAACAAATATGAGAAAAAAGAGCATTCTGAAGCCGAGGATTAGCAAATGACATGATTTCTTTAATACTTCTTAATCATGTGTTTACCGTCGATTTTTTTTATCATCTGTTTTGCCAATCTCTATAGTGGAGAGTGTGTTTCTGATCTTCTTGAGCTCAAATCGGAAAGAAATGAATGCTTTGCTGTGCATAAAAGTTGTTCTGCCTGCAAAACAATGGGGCTTTGATTTAAGAATAAAATCTAGGAAACACAATTTCTACCGTTGATTGAATCCTTTATACATTGAGGTTTCCATGCAATTATCCATTAGAACACGCACAGCCATTCTATTTGTTCCTTGATCTAATACAAAATCATTACTACATGCAGAAAAGGTATCTCAAAGTTCTACAATGGAAAATCAAAGTCTTACACAAGTCTGGCTGATGCCTCTGTTTCCTCCATGAAGGAGATTGCAAAGCCAGAGAATGCCTATTCCAAGAAACGAAGGAATCTCATGGCTTACAATCTTGTGTGGGAGAAGAACCGGAGTTTCCCCCTCAAGAATAACGGTGGTGGGATATCAAAAAGACCCATCAGCTCAAGCAGAAGCTCCCTGGCTTTGGCTGTTGCTATGAGCAGTTCCGAAAGTAACTGCAGTGAGGATTCAAACTCCAGCTCATATTCAGGCTCTCCACCGCCTCGCCCACCTCTGCACCCACAATCTAGAGCATCTAACTGCAATCTGGCTTCCATGGTGCCACCTCAGCGAAATTTCTCCACTTGGCGTTCATATTCCTTGGCTGATTTACAAGAGTGCGCAACCTCGGCTAATAAGGCCAATCTAACAAATCTCAACTGACCTGAAAGATTTCCATCTCCTGCTTATAGGTACGCAGGAGACCTTTTAACTGTTCTAGGGACCCTGAAATAGGAGGCTTTTCTAGTATGATTTTAGCTCGTATGGTCGATACTGTACTCCCTATATATTATAAACCAAAACTTTCATGTCTCGTTGTTTATACTGAAATGGGGATATGAAGTTAGAGTAAAGCATAAGGTAGCAGCAGATGTTTGAGTCACTTTCGTCAACACCTGTCTGTACTGGCCTAAGACAACCAACCCAACTACCCTCACCCACACATAAACAGCCACCTTGAAGCTTAGTTTGGCCAATGATCCTCCTCTCAAAGCCTTCTTGGTCCACCAAGAGTGATAGCCAACTGCTAAGATAGCTCCTATGCTTACGAAAATGATGCATGGAAAGATAGGGTGATCTTCTCCAGTCCATGTAATTGACTTTAGAAACTTAGTTAAGTTAACTGCCTTATATAGGCTTGACATTGCTTCCCCAAACATTTTAAGGACACCGTCTGCACGTTTTGACACATGTAATTCACTGGATTTGGGTTTCTGATATTGATATTTTCCCATGAGCTTCATTTATGGTACGGCTTCTTTGTGCTAGACCTTGAGAATGTAAACATACATGCACAATGCAGCAATTTGCTCGTTGGATAAGCATTTGTAAGCATTCCCAGTGACTTTGATGAGTTTCTTTTGCTGATTGTCGTTCAATATAGATGAATTTGCCTTTTTGTTGGATTGTTCTTTTGATTTCATTCAGTCAAATACTGCTGCGACATTCAGGAATGTATTGCAAGAAATTCAATGTCGGTTGACGTGTTTGTACAGGAATAGATAAGATTAGATTAAATGATGGGTCCTATCTATCACCCAATTGGACTAAGTTTAGAGATCAACAATTATATGTAGCCCTAATTTACAACCTGTCCAACTTGACCATATATTAAATCTATTTATATTTCAAGTGGTGGTTAGATCAAGTCCTACCTCTTCCCAAATTTATTTAATAAGCATCATTCCTTGATATCGTGGTCGAGAAAGGACACATATATGATAATGACTTAGCTATTCCATAAGGAGAGTCGAGATACGAACACACAGAAATTAAAGAAATAAACATACTTGTTCTTGAAGTATAAATTTTTAAAAAATGATAAACAAAATTTGTGTCAAATTTATACTCAACCTTCGTTAACTTTAAGAGTAGTTTTTAAACTTTAATAGAAGGTCATAAAAAACGGGGTAACCATTGCCCAAGTGCACAAGTATGTTTAAGATTAAGCCAAGACTTTCCATCTAAAACACCAAAATAATGTGGTTCCTTCGGGCTGATCTCCATGCCTTGACTAATGCTGACTTTTTACAAGTGGATAAAAGATTTAAGTTGAAAGAAACGTGAGATACCACATCGATTAGAGAAGGGAACGAAACATATTTCTCTAGCAGACGCATTTTAAAACCGTGAGGTTGATGACAATACGTAATGGGCTAAAACAAATAATATCTATGAATTTAGGCAGTTACTAGTAATATTAGAGTCAATTATCAGACAATGTGTTAGCAAGGATGTTGGGCCCCAAGAGGGATGGACGGTGAGATCACACCTCGATTGGAGGAGTAACAAAACATATTTTATAGGAAATTTTATAGCTTTCCTTATGTTTATGCTTTGCTTTGCTTCCTAAATTTACCAAAACATTTATGTTTATGCTTTGCTTGCACTACACAGTAACAAGGCGGCTGCTAAATCCAACCAATCATGGAGAGCATTCTTTCTTAGTTCTAGAGCTTTGCCTACCTTGTTACTCACTGTTCTGTGATATAACCTCTCCAAACTTGAGGAAGAGCTGGGCGTCTGAGGTGCTCATCGACGGGCAGTTCAGCACGTGCGGCGTTTTTAGCTTTGCATATTCATCCTTGTAGCTAGGGGCTCTTGCAGATGGGGGCAGTGATGCAACAGATGGCATTGGCTTTAGTGGTGCTGCCGAGGGCAGAAGACTGCTGATGACGCGCGTTACTTCGTGCATCGTTGGCCTATCAGATGGCTGCCTCTTGGTACACAGGAGAGCAAGCTGAAACGCCTTCTTTACAGCTCCAAGATCCTTGGAAGTTGCAGTTATTTCAGGATCAACCGTCTCCATTACCGCGTTGTTGGCTGTTTTCGATAAGATCTGATATATATATGAAAGAATATGTATGAGGAAATAGTCATCATACCTAACAGATGAAAAGAAAAACGCCTGATAGTGTACTGACCAATTGATGGAGATTTGATTCATTGTCTACAGCTTTCCTTCCAGTGAGTAGTTCAAGTAAAACAATGCCGAAGCTGTAAACATCAGATTTTTCAGTAAGTCGAGACGTTCGAGCATACTCTGGATCGATGTATCCAATTGTTCCCATGATATAAGTGGATGTATATGTCTTCGAGGTGCACAAACTCTTGGCGATGCCGAAATCAGTGAGATGGGCTTCGAAATCCTTGTCTAATAGAATGTTTGATGACTTGACATCCCTGTGGATAATACGAGGGCTACAATCATGGTGTAGGTATGATAGTCCTTGGGCTGCTCCATGTGCAATATTAAGCCGAGTGTCCCAGTCAAGTTTTTTGTTCTTGGTAGAACAAGAGCCTACTTTAAACAACCATGGGTCAAGCACATTCAGGCTAAAAGTACGATGAAACAAAATTAGACCGTTGAAAGTGATAGTAATCACGACTCTCCATAATGGTATCATATTGTCCACTTTGAACACAGGTCTCGTGGCTTTGCTTTAAGCTTCTCCAAAAGGCCTCATACCAATAGAGATGTATTTCTTTATAAACTCATGATCAATCCCTAAATTAGCCAATGTCAACAAAGTACATTATAGAGCCTCCCTTGAGGCCTATGGAGCCCTCAAACAGCCTCCCCTTAATCGAGGCTCGACTCCTTTGGAGTCCTTAAACAAAGTACACCATTTGTTCGACACTTGAGGATTCTATTGACATGGCTAAGTTAAGGGCATGACTTTGACACCATGTTTGGAATCACGACTCTCCACTATGGTATGATATTGTCCACTTTGAGCATAAGCTCTCATGGCTTTTCTTTGGGCTTCCCTAGAAGCCCTTACCAATGGAGATGTATTCCTTACTTATAAACCTCGTTCATTCCTAAATTAGTCAATGTAGGACTCTCTCTCAACCATCCTCAACAGAAAGGCGAAAATTTTGGCGAAAATTTTGACGATATTTAAGACGAATAAGAGCTCAATCTTACCATGTAGATGGTCCCAAAGGCTGCCATTTTCCATGTAGTCATAGAAGAGGAGATTCCCAGAGGGGGACAAGGAGTATCCTTGGAGGCCGACTAGATTTCTGTGCTTGATGCTACCGACAGTTTCGAGCTCGGTCTCAAATGCGTTCATGCTTAGGGGCTGGTGAGAGTAGAGCTTTTTGATAGCCACAGGTTTGCAATTCTTGAGTACACATTTGTAGACTGTGCTTGAAGCTCCATGTCCGATCATGTACTTTTCACTCAAATTTTCAGTCATCCTCATAATATCCTCGTACACGTGAAGTGCCATGTTCATGTGAAGGATTACTAGCTTGGGAGTTGAGTAAGTAACTGAAAGGTTTCACCAGCCACATAATGGAATGATTTAGTATTCAATTAAAGCCATGTGCCATTCTTCATAGATTGGAATGGCCAAAAGTACCTGGTTTATCAAGTGACCCATCTGGAAAAGGTATTGTGTTGTTCGGTCGGCACACGGTCAGGAGGATCATTAGAAGAATTACTAGAGCACCAAGAGCGATCCCGAGGATAGCAGCTTTAGATAACGTCACTGCGTTGAAAGCAATAAAGAGAAATTTCATAAAACGGTGCGAGTGTTCCAGGCTAGATTGCGTGTACCTTGACTATTATAAACACTTGAATTTATTACCACCGTAGATACATGTAACAGTCAAACCCCACTGCTATCTGATGTTGTTCTCTTTGGGCTTTCCCTTCAAAGTTTTAAAAAGCGTCTACTAGGGATTGGTTTCCACACCCATATAAGGAATGATTTGTTCCCCTTTCCAACCGATGTGGGACCTCACAATCCATCCCCCTTGGGGCCTAGCGTTCTCGCTGGCATACTGCCTGGTGTCTGGCTCTGATACCATTTGTAACAGCCCAAGCCCACCGTTGGCAGATATTGTCTTCTTTGAGCTTTCCCTTCCAAGCTTCCCCTCAAGGTTTTAAAGTGTGTCTACTAGGGAGAGGTTTCCACATGGTTTGTTCTCCTCTCCAACCGATGTGGGACCTCACAATCCACCCCTTAGGGCCTAGTGTCCTCACTGGCAAACCGCCCGGTGTTTGGCTCCAATACCATTGGTAATAGCCCAAGCTCATCTACTAGCGAAAAGTTTCCACACCTATATAAGAAATGTTTTGTTCTTCTCTCCAACCGATGTGGGACCTCACAATACAACTATGAAAACCATTTCAAATGCATAATTACCTCTCTCGGTCGTATGAGCCTCACGACAGGGATAGATGTTGCTATTCCAATATCCACAGAGGGCAGGATTTCCAAGGAAACTGAAAGTAAACTTAACATCAGAAGCATGAACAGCTTATGAAGAGATAAAACTATACTGACATGAAGTATGCTTCTGTATGCATTAAGACTCGTACCTGTCAAATGAGAACCTAGAGAAGTTGTTGCTTGTGGGAATGTAACCACCTAGATTGTTATTAGATACGTTTCTGCAAGGATCAGTATATTGGCTTTGTTACTCATCTCTGGTGTTAACATTATACTAACACTTATTGCTTGGGGAAGATGAACTTACAGTTCGGTAAGACTCGGGCAGTTTATCAACGACCTCACGTCCCCGGATAGATTGTTGTTTTCAAGTCTCCTGCATCAGTTTCATCATTATACCATGAAGGAAACAGTAGGATACCTACTTGAATGCTTGAAATAGTTTTAGCAGATGGAACTCAAGCTATGATGTCAGTAGAACAACATGAAAGAAAAACGGGGAAATATCAGTTCATGACAAGACCAAGCCTATGAGATCCCATATCAGTTAGAGAGAGGAACGAGTGCCAGCGAGGATACTAGGCCTCGAAGGGAGTAGATTGTGAGATCCCACATCGATTGGAGAGAGGAACGAGGTTCACCGAGGACGCTGAGCTTCGAGGGGGTGAATTGTGGGATCCCACATCGATTAGAGAACGAGGTTTACCGAGGACGCTAGGCCCTGAAGGGGGTGGATTGTGAGATCCCACATTGATTGGGGAGGAGAACGAGCTCACCAAGGACACTAGGTCCCGAAGGGGGATGGACTGTGAGATCCCCCATCAATTGGAGAGGGGAACAAAACATTCTTTATAAGGGTGTGGAAACCTCTCCTTAGCAAACGTGTTTTAAAAACCTTGAGGGGAAGCCCGAAAGGAAAAGCTCAAAGAGGACAATATCTGCTAGCGGTGGGCTTGGACCGTTACAAAACCACTCAAGAAATTGCTAAAGTATGTCGAGACGTCATGAACATAAACTTTCAGCCTATGATAGTTCCTCTTGTTCTTCTTTTAAGAATTATAGATGAAAACTTCTACGGTAAGTTACAATTTCAAAACTTACAAGGAGAGCAGATTTTGAAGTTGTGTCAGTTCTTGAGGAATGAACCCAGAGAGCTGATTGTGTGAAATATCTCTACAGCATAGCAACATAAAGACAATAGAATTAGAACAAGAACCTGAAGTTCCTGCATTCAAAGGAGATTATCTGAACCTCACAATTCCACTTACATTTCCATTACACTTCTTAGATTGCCAAATTCAGCTGGAATAGATCCTGTTAAGCGATTCCCGCTTAGATTTCTTCGAACATATAAAAACGAAGATCAGTGATTTCAGCCCGAACACGTACGATTGATGACAAGAAAAAGCAAGTTAAAGATGATACATACAGCTTTAGGAGATGTTCGAGATCTCCGAACGACGAAGAAATTGTGCCATTAACTTCGTTATTTGAAATGTCTCTGTGCAGCAACTATGAGTTAGTATAAGAAATATGGGAGAAAAGAGTGAAGATTATATCTCATATACTTACAATGTATCCAAATTGCCAATTCGAGATAGCTCAACTGAAATAGGACCTTGTAGATCATTTGAGGACAGATTCCTACACATGATCAATATGATAAGAGCATTCTCATGAACATAGAAGGAGCTCTTAAGCCACTCAAAACAACTAACTTACAGGTAAGTCATACTCTCTAGCCTCTGGAAAGACAGCGGAATCGTTCCGTTCAACTTATTTCCGTGCACATTTCTGAAATCAACGAATCGTAATGGTCTTAATGAATAGAAGATCGTTCTAAATGGAATCGGAGTTCGGATTAGATTCTTACAGGCTGTTGAGATTTGTGCATGAGCTAAGATTATCAGGGATAGGCCCTCCAAGATTGTTATTAGCAACATTTCTGCAAGGACGCAGATCAGTAAGGGACATGAGAAGGCACGAGTATACGAATGGGACGATGATGCTTACAGATCGAACAAATCGGTTAGTTTCCCTAGCTCGGCTGGAATAGTCCCAGTAAGATGATTATCATTCAGTTCCCTCCAGAGGAAAGAAAAATTAGGTCAGTAATCATCAACGTCGTAATCGAGGTTTCGTGTTCATGAATGAAAAGCTTAAACATAACACATGGGATGCTCAAGGATTGTCAAGAGCATAAATGCACATTAAGATTGAATAGGCTTGTTAAGAACTCATATTACAGCAGAAAACAGGGATAAAATATAGAATTCTCCACATTAATAGGAAGTAAAGGAGAGAAATGTTACAGATAATGGAGCTTTGTCATATTCCCGAGCTCTGCTGGAATGGAACCAGTGAGCTTGTTACTATGCAGGTACCTGCATGCCATCAAAGATATCACTCACCAGAATAAGATATCTCATAAAATGTAAGTTCTAGAAATAAGAGATATGGCCTGTTTTGGTTTGTTTTGGCCTATTACGTATCGTCGTTAGCCTCACGGTTTTTAAACGCGTTTGTTAGGGAGAGGTTTTCATACTTTTATAAGGAATGCTTCGTTCCCTCTCCAACCAGTGTGGGATCTCATAATCCACCACCCTTGGAGTCCTAGCGTTCTCGCTTGCTCACCGCTCGATGTCTGGCTCTAATATCATTTGTAATAGCACAAACCCACCGCTAACAAATATTGTCTGTTTTGGCCCGTTACGTATCGTCGTCAGCCTCACGGTTTTTAAAACGTGTCTGTTAGGGAGAGGTTTCCACACCTTTATAAGGAATGCTTCGTTTCCATCTCCAACCGATGTGGGATCACACAATCCACCCCCTTGGGGGCCAGCGTCTTCGCCGGCACACCGCTCAGTGTCTGGCTCTGATACTATTTGTAACAGCCCAAGTCCACTACTAACAAATATTGTCCGCTTTGGTCCTTTACATATCGTCATCAACCTCACGGTTCTTAAAACACATCTTTTAGGGAGAGGTTTCCACACCCTTATAAGGAATGTTTCGTTCCCCTCTCCAACCGATGTGGGATCTCACAATTCACCACCTTTGGGGGCCTAACGTCCTCGCCAACATATCGCTCAGTGTCTGGCTCTGAAATTATTTACAACAGCTCAAGTCCACTACTAACACATATTGTTCGCTTTGGCCCGTTACATTATTGTCGTCAGCCTCATGGTTGAACACATCTGTTAGGAAGAGGTTTCCACACCTTTATGAGAAATGTTTTGTTCCCCTCTCCCACCGATGTTAGTTGATATGTATATTACCAGTTTCTTCGTTCAACATTATAGGACATGTGTAACAGGAATAGCACAGAGCTGCCAAATGGGCAGGACAGAAAGATCAATAAAAATATGCTTACAGTTTCTCAGTGTATGTCAGATTCCCTAAGATAGAGGGGATTGGACCAGTTAACATGTTGCAGCTCAAATCTCTGATTTGGATGTGAGAAGGAGTTAGAAAAACTGAGAGAGCAAGAATCATGTGATAAATATACGTAACAGCCACCGGTAATAGATATTGTTCGCTTTGGCCCATTACAAATCACTGTCAGTCTCACAGTTTTAAAACGCGTCTCCTAAAGTTTCTACACCTTTATAAGGAATGCTTTGTTCTCCTCTCCAACCAATGTGGGATCTCACAATGATAGACGTGGAAACCTCTCCCTAGTAGACACATTTTAAAATCATGAAGCTAACGGCGATACGTAATAGGCCAAAGTAAACAATATCTACTAGTAGTGGGCTTGAACTGTTACAACATTTGAACTTGGTAGAGGGAGCTATAGTTGCTTACAGCACAGCAAGCCCCTGCATCAGACCAATTACTGGTGGGATGGGACCTGACAACTGATTACCCTGCAAGGACCTGAAAAGAAAATTCATAAAAATTGAAGGACCAATTACAAAGTTCAAAAAATTCATTGAAACCCACACAAAACTGCTTCAAGGACACATACAATGTGGCTACTTGAAGGAAACCAATGTTGAATGGTATCTCTCCAGTGAGATGATTGTATGACAGGTCCCTGCCATTCAACACAAAAGAAAGTTTAGCTACTTGTATACACAGAGTGGTGCACTTGGTGTTGGAGTCAAGATCGGCCAGTGAGACGATGGGGGATAAGCTTCATCGTCGAATGAGAAGGATATATAATACATACAAGACCTGGAAGGCTGTGCAGTTGCCTATGGTTTGAGGTATGCTGCCTCTTAAACTGTTGTTTCTCACATCACTTCAAATGGAAAGAGATTTATTAGGCTGAGAATATGTTCATATAGTCTCTTGGTGGAAGTAAGGATTACTTACAAATACCATAAGCCAGTGAGCTGACAGATATCTGGAGACAGTGTGCCCACAAAATTGTTGCCACGCAATCCCCTGAGAAAGAGTTGAATGTCAAATGAAACGTTTAGAATTCGAACCAACAAAAGCTAGCAGTTATCTGTAATAGCTCAAACCCACCGCTATTACATATCACAGTCAGCCTCATGATTCTAAAATGCGTTTGCTAGAGAGAGGTTTCATACCCTTATAAGGAATGTTTCGTTCCCCTCTCTAACTGATAAGGGATCTCACAATTCACTCCCCTTGGAGACCCACACCGCTCGGTGTTTGGCTCTGATGCCATTTATAACAGCTCAAGCCCACTGCTATCCGATATTTCCACTTTGACCCATTACATATCACCATTAGCCTCATAGTTGTAAAACGCGTCTGCTAGAGAGAAGTTTCCACACCCTTATAAGAATACTCCGTTCCCCTCTCCAACCATGTGGGATCTCACAATCCACCCCCCTTGAAGGCCCAGCGTTCTTGCTGGCACACCGCTCAGTGTCTGGCTCTAATACCATTTGTAACAACTCAAGCCCACCCACCGCTATTAGTTATTGTCCACTTTTGCCCATTACGTATCACATCAGCCTCGCAGTTGTAAAACGCATATGCAAAAGAGAAGTTTCCACACCCTTACAAGAAACGTTTCGTTCCCCTCTCCCAACGACGTGTATAAGAAAGAATTAAGAGTTAAAAAAAAGCTCACATATATTGCAGCACTTCATTCCAGTGAATGAGCCTCGGTATTTCACCACTAAGATTATTCTGTGCCAGATCTCTAGAACAACCAAGGATGAAAAATGGGCATCTTTCAGCTATTTCTCAAAGTAAAAACTTTGAAGGCAGTGAAAAAAGTATGGCATGAGAACTTACAAGACCTTCAAGTTTGGAACCTGAGACAAGGTTGAAGGGATTGGTCCAATCAGTCTATTATTTTTCACAACTCTGAAACATTAAACACATAATAAGATGAAGCATCACATAGTTAACAAAAAAGTTGCATACTTATGTTTGAACTTACAGCATTTCCAGTTGCTTCAACCTCGAAACGGAAAATGGTATGTCTCCGTAAATCTCATTAAACGATAAATCCCTACAAAGTTTCACCCATCCATCGGTAAGCTTTATGTAACAGAGTCCAAGTCCACCGCTAACAGATATTGTCTCTTTGAACTTTCCTTTTCGGACTTCCCCTTAAGGTTTTTAAAAGGTTTCTACTAGGGAGAGGTTTCCACACCCTTATAAAGAATGTTTCATTCTCCTCTCCGATTGACATGGGATCCCCTAATCCACCCCCTTCAAGGCCCAGTATCTTTGCTGGCACACCACCTCGGGTCTTAGCCTCCTTGTTGGCACATTGCCCGGTGTTTGACTCTAATACCATTGATAAGTAATAGCCCAACACCACCACTAGTAAATATTGTACTCCTTGAATTTTTTCTCAAAGTTTTTAAAACGCATCTATTAGGGAGAAGTTTCTACACCCTTATAAAGAATACTTCGTTCTCCTCTCCAACTGAGGTGAGATCTCACGTTTTAAGTCAAAGATATCGAACATTTGTAAACACGAAAGGACTTACAGATTTATTAACGAATAACAGTCACCAATCTCATCAGGAATTTGACCAGAAAGCCTATTCCCTCTCAAATCCCTGTTCAAGGAATCCCATTATTAGAAGAAGGCTTAGAAAGTAAGAACATGAATAAAGAAGAGAGGTTTACAAAGTTTGCAGGCCCTTGAGCTTCCCGACCGAAGGAGAAATTTCTCCGACCAGGTTGAGACCAGAAAGATTACTGGAACAACAAAAAAAAACAATGGGAAAAAGGAGATGAACAAGGTAGAACAATCTTTAAACTGGATTTTGAAACCAGCCCAGAAAGCTAATAGGGAAATTGTTTGGCTTACAGAGTGATAGCATTGAGAGTGGCATTGTCACAGGTGACACCTCTCCATTTACAGTAATCTGAAGAAGGTGAGCTTGTCCAATCATATAGAACATTATCCACATCCCTCAATGATTTCTTTATCTCCAACAACGTAGCTCCTTCAACACAGGAAAACATGTCACCAAAGATAATGTAGACATTAAGACAACATTAAAAAAACATTTCTAAAGTGTTCTTGGATATACTTATGTTCTTTCCAGTAGTCGCTAATTGATTACCAATGGCATTTTAAAGTTTTTTAATGGTGACTTACCATCATCGGAATCCACCACACCGGCGCTAACACAGAAGAGAAAAACCAGAATAAGAAGCTGAATAGGGAATGCCATGGCGGCCGCCCTCTTCATAGACCTGAATTACACTTCCATTGCCAGTTACAAGAAGCTTAAAACCCCTTTCAATGAACACCCAAATGAAAAAAACAGAGAACCCTGTTCTAATCTCTTTCTCAAGAACGTTAAAAGGCTAAAAAAGAAGCAATTGGGAGAGACATTGTTGAGTCTAAGAGGAAACGATAATGAATTATTTCACAGAAAAAGATAAGAACCCATCTGCCACAACTCTGTTACAAAACCTGCAACGACACAGACCCTTTACTCCATTTCTCTCTCTCTCTCTCTCTTGCAAATGGGACACTGGGTAATGGAAGGAACCCATTTGGGTTCAGCTGACAAGGACCCTCTTCTTTGAAGACTCGCCTTGTGCACGTTTTGCTGCAGAATTGAGCCTTGAATTCAATGAACTATTGCAAGATTTGTAATTTTGTTATTCCAGTGTTCATGTTAAGTTGTTTAATCCCCAAAAGGTACCATATTTTAAGATAATAATGTTGTATTATTGGAGTGACTCACACATTAATTAATTTAGTAGAAGATTATGGATTTATAAGTGGAAAAGCCTAAAACAAAACTACGAAAGTTTATGCAAATGGACAATATCATACTATTGTGGAGAGTCGTATTCGTATAACAAATTATGGAAAAAAATGCCCATAAAATCTTGTTTTTGTGTTGATTTTGTCTTCAAGTTTATTCCCTCAATAGAATGATGTGAATTTAAAATAAAAATACACAACTTTAGGTTTCTATGTTCATGAACTTATTGGATAAAAACAAAAACATGTTCCTCTCAAGTCCCACAAACAATGATCTGTCACATTTGAAACTACTGTGAACTTTCATGTTGTTGTGCGTCGCTCTTTTCACATCTAGTGCGAGATTTTACATCGGTTGAAGAAAAGAACGAAACATTGGTTATAATTAATCTCGTATCAATATTTTGTTTTGATGTTCTTACGATGTTTCACATGCGTCACAACGATTTTGAAATTCATATACATTATAATAAATATTACAATATAAAAAATAATAAATTATATATTTTACCGATCAAAAAGTTGTTTGTTCGAGACAAATTTTAAAATTGTAACAAAAATTATTTCAACCTTTAACTGAGAACATATGTATCTTGGAACGTTATTATTTAGAAAGTTTTTATTTGTATATATTTCAAATAATATTTGATGTGATGAGGTCAAAATTAATTTATATTTAAGTATATTAAATTAACTATTTAGACTTTAGGGTAAGTCCAAAATATGTATATATTTATTTATATTTGACTTTATATATTAAAAAATAAAGCTGTTTGGGGAATTCAAGTAAATATAAGAGAGAAATGGGGGTAAAAGGGGAATTTCGGATAAGGACAGTCGGAGGATCTGCCCGAATCTGGGCCCACGGCCCATCATGGGCCTGATTGATTAACTCAGCATCATAAAGAGATAAAAAGTAGCCCATTTTAGGTTAAAATTAACAACGTCGTCTTCAAATTTAAATATTTCCAAATTGTTTTTTTTAATTAAAAAAAAAGTTATTTTTCAAAAATTATATATATATATATATATCCAAATCAAACCCATATGTGGTTTAAAGCTTTAAATTTGAGTGTTTATTTTGTATTATTATTATTATTATTTGCTTTCCATATTTGTTTGAATTTTGAAATCATTTTTTTAAATAGAAAAAAGTTGAAAAAAAAAACTTTACAGGAAGATATATTGTTTATTACACTTCATTTTCAATATATATATATATATATATATATATATATATTGTTATTATTATTATTTATGGAAACAAAATTGATTTATCTTCCTGAAAAAGGAATAAATAAATAAACCTTGGGAAAATCAATTGGCCTCGTCTAATTCTGACGGCAACTTCCAATTGATTTATCTGGGTCCCACACCCTTGCCCGAAAAGTCTCAATACCTTAGACGACGATTTTGACGCCGTTAACCTATTTATGGAAACCCATTTTAAAATCACAATAAAATAAAATAAAATAAAATAAAATAAAATAAAATAAAATAAAAAATAAGTAATATGTGGGTAAAGTATACCATTTAAACTAGAAAATAAAAGATTTTTATTTTTCTATTAGTTAAATAGTAAAATTATATCTCATTTATTTTCGCACGAGACTGCCTTTTTACGCAAAGAACCTAATTCTCGTGGGCATCTCTAGTTTTTATGTCTGCAAAAGAAATTATTTATTTTCGTGGAAATCGAAAGGGAGAATTTATAAATTTTTTATTAGATAAATTTTCTTTTATAATATAATTTTTATGAAAATAGTAAAAATATAATATTGAACCTAATTTTATTATAAAACACGAATTATACAAATATTTATATTTTATTTAAAAGTGGTTTTGCTGTTATTTAGGGGCGGTGACGTATTTGGATAACCAAGTGAGGGCGGGGTTGCGTTTAATTGGGTGTAATGACATGTCTCCTGGGTTATGGAGTGTTTCCTTTTTAGGGTAACAGGCGGGTCATCTTATTATAATAAAGTAAAAATAATAAATGTGATATAGCTATGGTTTCAAATTAGTTGGCCCCACCTCTTAATTAACGCTTAATTTCTCTTTTCTTTTTTTTTTCTTTTTTCAATAGTACATTGATTTTAATTTTAAAATATATTATTTTTATTTTAAATTTTTGCATATAATATGTGTATGTTAAATTTTAAAAAATTAAACACTTTATAAAAATGAACTAATTTATTATATATATAATTGAAATTTCGATGGTATATATAATAAATTAGTTTATTATTAAGCACTATAGAAGAAAAATAAGAAACAAAACGGAAAGCTTAAATGATATGAATGGCAGTCACGACTGCGACCTGGGTCGCCGTAGAAGAAGACAGTCTCAGTAGTGTAGGTTCGTTGATAATTATCAGTAGAGTAACATAAAGGCTCATTAGCCCAAGTTCCGACTCTCTTTGGACACTTCAACTGCAGCGAATTGTCCACGATTCTTGGCTGCTTCACATGGCTAGCGTGCTTGTAATACCTCCCTGCATAAAAATGAAACATACCAGACAGAAATAATGAACTGTTGTCCACCTGTGGTAGATTTGGGATCAATGACAGCACCAAGTACCACTTTGGGGTTCGTTTGGACAAACCCACTACAAGTTAAATCAAAGAACCCGGTTGATTTGTATGAATCCACCTAACCATTTTTTCATGTTAGATATAAATTATACTCAAATTTCTTCTATATTCTCTAAGAGTTGTTATAATTGAAAACTCTCATTCTTACCGTCCAGTGTACGTTGAGTCAGAGTTTTCTGTATTCTCTGCGAATTGGAATGGTTCCATTGGGACATCTCCCACTTCTTTGCCATACTTGAAATCTTCCAACCGACGCCCCAATTGGGTTCCATCTGTATGCATATATGCAAGCATTGGTTAAGAGTGTAAACTACATAATGATTTGATTAACACGAAGAAATGAACCTGAATGGTGTGGTTCTTTAGAGCCGGATGGTCAAAAGCAGGCTGTTTGTAAATGTCAACGCAATCGATAATGCATAATCCCCATGCAAAATTATACGTAAAAAAAGCATTAAAAAAATTAAAAAAAAAACGCAACGAAAGCAAAGATGTTACGTAGATGGTGTGGACGGCAGGCTTGTTAAGAAGCTTTAACTTCTTGTGAATCTGTCGAGATAATTGTTGAGACTTATTCATCTCTGGAATGGCTGCATGGGCTTGGAGAATGGCAGCAGCAATGGCCAAAGCCACCATTGCCGACAGCTTCCCTTCATGTTCTGGCTGCATGAGCTTGGAGAATGGCAGCAGCAATGGCCAAAGCCACCATTGCCGACAGCTTCCCTTCATGTTCTGGCTGCATGAGCTTGGAGAATGGCAGCAGCAATGGCCAAAGCCACCATTGCCGACAGCTTCCCTTCATGTTCTGTGTTCCTCATTTTCTCCGAAAGAACCCAATACAAAAGTTGATTTTTAGTTGTTTTCTTGGGTTGAGGAAGAGAATGGAGAATTCAAATATTTATACCACTCCTTGTTCTTCCGTTAAATAAGGTAAAAATTGGTTTTGGAATGGCAGGAGAGGAAATGGCGCCACGAATTATTAACCGCCGTCTTTACTGTTGTAACAATTTTTTACTTGGGCCAGGACAACAAGTCGATGAGATAGACATATTGGGCCCAACTATTGGGCCGACTATTGGGGCTTGGACTTCAAATGTGTTTGGTTTAGTGGGGCTAAGCCAGATAGACATATTGGGCCCAACTATTGGGCCGACACATTGGCGGTTGGGAAGAAAGCAACAGGCCTGGTCGCCACATATTTAGGACTCGATGAAGTGGGTCCATTTATCTCCACGTGTAACCAAACTATAAAAAGTTGGTAGGATTTAGAGATATCCACTCAGGCGTGATAGAAAAGTCTTCCTCGTCCTCATTCACATTCCTACCACCTATTTAATTTTCTATTATTACGTAAGTTCTCGTTGAAGAGGGAAACAAAACATTATATATAAAGGTATGAAAATCTCCCCTAGTAGACCTCTAAAGGAGGTGGACACTAGGCAGTGTCCCAAGGAAGGCAGTGCGTCCCAAAGGGGAGTGGATTGTGAGATCTCATAGGATCTCGATTCATGGATCTCAGTTCGATAAATCAAAATAAGAGAATCGAACCATTTCTTCTAACCATTTTTCAAATTTGATCAATATTGGTTGATCGTATATTTCATTATAGTTCTATAATTCAGAGTATCATTTCCTATTTGATCCATTCGAATTTCATATTCGAAGTTGTGATTGGATCTATTCATTAAAAACAATCAATTCAATACATTTCTTATGTACACATAGGAGTTATATTGGATCCGAATCAATCTATATTGATTGACTGCCTCCATTATGTTGTAGCTAGCAAATACCATTATTTTTTGTTTTAGAAAGAGAGAAAGAGGGACAACAAGAACGTTGGGCCCCGAAGATAGATGGATTGTGAGATCTCTCATCGATTGGAGAGGGAAACCATCACTAGACCACGAAGGGGGGTGGATTG